TGGCCCTTGATTGTATGAAAAATCACTTTCGATTTAGCTTGTTTTCTATCCATCTCTCGAAAATGTGGGCGTATCCTGCCTGGCAGCCGCTAGTTATACATGTATATACATATTACAGATACAAAGAACTAAAACATTCTTTTCATAAACATTCAATATTGGAAATTTTGCCGTTTCTTAATAAGTCTATACGGTGCGTGATCCACGACTCCACGTGCTGTATTTGATTCTGAGCGGTAAATTTTACCCGCATGTTATTGTTATAAAATCGTTTTTGACTTACTATAAATTGATTTGACAGTTGTATTCAACCTTTCCTTTCAACTTATTTCCGAATCCGAGATGTCACGTGCCCGAGTCTGAAATCGTCAAGTCCATATTTTTTTGAGTCCGAAATGACATGGAATCTTGCTTTCCAGGTCCGCTCTTCATTAACGAGATTCGAAAAATTAACGTGAAAATCCATTATATTTGTATTCAAGAGAATAAAGAATTTATTACAAAAGTTGTATTACTACTTCTGATTTTTTGGGCCAGTGAAATTGGGTCCGGGCTTGTAAAAAATTGTAATCTACTGGCCCGAATGGCTTGTGAATTCAGATCTGAAAGTTATTGACTGGGCCGACTTGGCATTTAATTTTAATTCCGTTACAAACCTATTATTAAAACTTACAAATATTTAAAAATGTTGCACAAGAAAAGAAAAGGCAAGATATAACCAAATAATAGTCTGTAAAGTAATTCAAATTAACTGACAAACATTCTACGCACAAAGGTGCTACCTGACGAGGTAACGAGACACTTGGCAGTTAAATTTTAATTCCGTTACAAACCTATTATTAAAACTTGCAAATATGTTGAAATTGGATTCAGGTGTTTATATGTTTTCAACGCGAATTCCGGTGATTTTATGTGTTTTAAAGTAATTCAATATTAATATTAATGGAAAATATAAGTAAATAGGAAGATTGTACGGGCGAATTCTGATATCTCTAAGTGAATTCCGGTGTTTGTAAGTGAATTCCGGTGTATGGATTTGGTCAAATAATATTGTAAGTTAAAATTAGGACTAAAATGCTGATAAAAGAGGCTTTTTGATGAATTACAAATAGGTTCTACACATACATGTAATTGTTTTAAAACATCTCAAATTTGACGAGTTACGAGATTTTCTCCACATATGTCGAGGAATCTCCCTTTATTGGTCAAAATATCGGATTTACAAATCATATTAAATGTAAATATTGTCATTGTATAAAGTGACAAATAACATACAATCACCACATAATAAACTATCATAAACTATTATTTAAATTGATTTCATTTATTTATTTCAAATCAAGTTACGATGTCGATGACAGAAAGTGACAATCGACACAATTTGCAAGTATTAAATTGTTTATTGCACTTTTATCACACAATAATACTTTCTACAGTAGATATCGCTTGTGTGATATATTTCATAATCTACTGCAATATCTCCTTTACATGAATTTGATTGGTCAGTTGAAAAGGAACTACTTTATTTTCAAAGAACAGTTCATTTCTTATTAAAAGTAACTTCTTTTTTTTTTTTATCAAAAATGAACTATTGTTATTCAATTGACATTGATGGAAACACTGGTTCAATATAAAGGACTTTGCTTTGGTTGAATTGCTGTCAGAATATAATTTATTGTTATTCAATTGACATTGATGGAAACACTGGTTCAATATAAAGGACTTTGCTTTGGTTGAATTGCTGTCAGAATATAATTTATCACTACGCAGTAATGTTCAGTAAAAGTGAAATCTACAGCAAAGAATTATATTTATCTATTTGTGCATGTAAGAAGGGATTGGGTGATAAAGAAAATCTCCTACTCGTCTTTTTTGATATCAAAAAATCAAAAAAGACTGGTAGGAGATTCTCTATATATATACCATAATATGTTTCATGCATATAATTACTGTTTTAATAAACTATTAATCAATCTCTAATTACAATACATTACAACGAATTGCAACGAAAGTATACATAAGTTTCTTGTCAACAAAAATCACATACACGTGTTATCTCCCGTGAACCTCCGATTTGAACAAAAACCAGTGACGCTTCTTAACTTAAACTCATACTAAATTGTTATTTTGTGTTTCCACAGTCAATATTTTTGAAGTTATTGGTTGTTATTTTGGAGTTATTGGGTAACTCGACGTAAATTGTTTTTTAGTGTTATTTTGGAGTTCGGCCTATATTGGGTAATACGACGCGCCCTACGTTATCATAACCATGATGCATATATATGAAATGAATTCCGGTAGTCTTTCAAATAAATATACCCGCAGGGCCTTTATTTGGCCCGTGGGGATATCAAAATAGTAATTCGTTACATTATAATGTATTATACATTTAAAATAAATTAGTTTTGTGGGAGGAATCGGGGGTTTTCGAAGTGAATTCCGGTGATTATATGTGTTTTCCGGTGATTGTAAATGAATTCCGGTGATTAGTCGGGCCCGATAAAGACTGTTTCATTTCATTCCAATTATGGTGTGTCTTCAATGGTTTCAAAGCGCGGACGTTTGTTTTTCATTTTGTAAGCTCACTTCAATGGCTAAACATTGTGTTTTGTTAACCGCAGCTTTCCACACTGATCAGAGTGAAGTTTCGCCAGGCCGCTACAATTACTGATAAGGATGACATCGATGCGACTTAATGAGTCCCAAATATTAACTGTTTTCTTCCGTCAAATTAAATTCTAAAATATTTTTTTTCATTTATTAGAAAAATAAATAAAGACGTTTGAATTATTTGTAGGTAAAAATCATTTCCTATTTAGTGTAAATGGGTATTAAAATAAGTAAAATTCACCATTTAGCCCGAATCAGTAACGTTTTATGTAAACAATGCACGCGCTATTGAGCCAATGACTGACGCTGCGTGATGTGACGTCACGTGTCGAAACAATCATAAGTTACAGAGATATTAGAAGATCTCTGTGAAACAGATTGACAGCTTTCGACAATGAGGGTCAAGGTCATAAAACGTCCGCTCAGCGAAACGACAACTCATCCCAATATAAAAGACAACTCATCCCAATATAAAAGACTACTCATCCCAACTTTAAAACATGGGTTGAGTTATAAGACAAGTTATAAGACAACTCATCCCAACAAATTTAAGTGCTTGTTTTAATAAAATTGCTTTCTTTGAAGACCACTCAGACCAAAACCAATCTGATTTTGTTATCTTAAAGGGACAATAACACCCTGCTGGCTTGACAGCTCCAGAAAATAAATAAGTGTCCTACCGGTTGTGTAAATTATCCATTACATACTATTTTACTTGTCCAGAGGGTTCGAAAATATTTTTAAATCCAAGTCACATTTGAAAAGGTTTACGTTTGGCTTTTCAAATCATTTAGTTGAATTTTTCCAATTTTTTAAATTAGGTGTGTTAAGATGAAATTGGTATCATCAATTAATTGGAATACTGTAAAATAGTACAATTTGTTGACCAGAATAAAGATTGGGACATATTATTCAGTTACAACAAGAGTGGTATTGTTGTTTTAATCAAATTGATATTGTTGTTTTAATCAAATTGATATTGTTGTTGTAATTATTTGATGATTACTCTTTGTATTACTGTTTTAGTACTTTGTTGTTTTAACAGATTGGTAGTTGTGTTTTGTTTTATTTTTTCATCATGAAGCACTTCAAAGACAATTAATTAACAAAACATCGATTAATTAAACTGAGTAGTAGTATTCCAGTATCATTTTTCAAAATGTCTGATAGCTGTATAGTTTGTGAGTCAGTTGTTCGCCCAAGACCGGAGGCTGTTCAGTGCGACGGATGTGAACGATGGCAGCACAGAACTTGTAATACTGGTAAGACTTTAATGTTATTTTTTTAAATTCAACAATATTGTATTAAATTCAACAATATTGGACTACATTTTGGACAACTGGATAACAACCCAAATTAAGATGGTATCGGATGGGAAATTACGAAGGCACCAGCAAAAACAGACAAGAACAACGCAATTCAAATTATTTCAACCGTGGCATTCATACACAGACCAGACTATTAGTACCAACCAGTTACTAAAGAGATGTGGGGGAATTTATGGACCTAACTGAAGGACAAATTTACAAAATGGCTAACCTACTGAATGACATACTGACAAAAGAAAAAACATATTTATAAAAATGTATTAATTGATCATGATATAATAAAATGTATTATTTAATAAATTGTTGATGTAATAAATAATTTAATATTATTATTTTTATAAATTGTTGATCTAATAAATTCTTATATAAATTGTTGATATAATAAATTTTTATATTACTGATTAATTTAATAAATAAAAAAAAAATCAATATTTGTTGCGGTATTTATTTGTAACTTGGAATGATTATTGGGTTTTTTTAAAGTTGGGATGAGTTGTCTTCTAACTTGGGGTGAGTTGTCTTTTGACTGGGAATGAGCTGTCTTCTAACTTGGGATGAGTTGGGGGATCACGTGGCTAAGTGGGTAAGACGCTAGCTCGCTAGCCTGGAGGTCGGGTGTTCGATCCCTGCATTGGCCGAGAAAGTTCATCCAGATTTTCCGGCGTGGTTCTCCCTTGTCAGTGATGCAGGACGGAGGGGCTGACAAGGAAAGCTGTCTAGTCGTTCGGATGGGACGAAAAACCGAGGTCCCCGTGTACACATTGGCGTACACGTAAAAGATCCCTTGGCCAGTTGGAATTCGATATAAGAGTAGGCCGTAGTGCCGCTGTCCGGGCAAAATTTCCCTCATAGCACACTGTATGGCGTATGCCCGTCTTCATTAGCTCATGTTAGGAGCAGAACAGTAGGACGTTAAACTCTATTTCATTTCATGGGATGAGTTGTCTTTTTATTGGGATGAGTTGTCTGGAATGAGTTGTCTTTGGGATGAGTTGTCTGGAATGAGTTGTCTTTGGGATGAGTTGTCAGGTATTCGCTGACTTCAGCCCAATGTTAGTTATCTCCCTTGTAGGTACGTCATTATTTGGCGGGAAATTCTAATAGAGGATGTTTACATTTTATTTCGCTGAAATTATTATTGATTCTACCATTACCAACCTGACGGAGTAAACTCGTTTCTGTAATATACTACTCTGGTGAATTGAGGTGGTAGGTGGTGTAGTGGTGTAGTAGAGTATACACGTAAATTTAACTTTATGAAGTTTATGGCCTGGTAAGTAAGTCATTCCTATTTTGCAAATGCAAAAACTTTTGGCAGTGGATATTTAACCGTATACGGCACTTTACTTTATTTACTAATTTGCCGTACACTTCCGTTTAACATGCGCAGTTCTTTGATACCTGGAATTAACAGTTTTCCCTTGGCAATGCCGTCTGACATAACCCTAACCCAACAGTTCTATTTGTTTTTTGTCTAACATTGCTTCTTTTTCCGTTTCTTAATAAAGGAACGAAATAGCCATACTAAATTAATACTTGAATTTCTATGGTAGAAACTGGAGAATTATTTTTAAAAGAAAATAAGATAATAGGGTATATGTGTGTAATTTCGACCACTTTAGATTTGACGTCATTTATTTCGCCAACAACGCCATTACTCGATTATCCAGGCTTGATTTAGAATTGAAACATCAGACTAAATTCGCCTCTTTTACAAGAAAACGGCATTTAAATGGAGTAACCCCCCCCTTGGTGCATATTCAACCACGTTTGGGGGAAATTCGACCGCCACCAATTTGTAATTTACCGACATGGGGGGAAATTCGACCACATGACCAAATTAATAAAAATTCAAACACTACGCATAATAAATGGCAAGCTGTTTGTTTTGGTATAAATATTTTAAAAATAATACTTGCAGGTCCGTTCTAAGAATTTTCATCCTGTCCCTAATTAAACAATAATTGTTATATAAATAGAACCTTAGGCCACGTGTACTGGTTATTAAAATGTTAATATTATTGCGTACTAAATATGCAGGGATCGGGCCAATCCAACAATGACTCAAGTTATAACCAGAAGTATCAAAGTCAACATCAGTTAATTCGTTTAGGGACAAATTTAATCCATTTCACATAATCAACATCTGGGAATTACGTTCATTTAATCAAAAGGCTATATCTGGGAATGAATAAATTACGAATATATAATTTAACAATTAAAAAAACACATTTCATTAGATTAATATCTTGGAATCAATAAGTTAAAATTCATTTTGAAATTCATAAACACAGTTCATTTCATTGACAAGATACTAATTTATAATTATGGAGAACATTCATGACAATAAAATGGTACATAAATGGGGATAAAATGGTTATAACCAGAAGTATCAAAGTCAACATCAGTTAATTCGTTTAGGGACAAATTTAATCCATTTCATATAATCAACATCTGGGAATTACGTTCATTTAATCAAAAGGCTATATCTGGGAATGAATAAATTACGAATATATATACAATAAATTTCATTTGATTAATATCTTGGAATCAATAAGTTAAAATTCATTTTGAAATTCATAAACACAGTTCATGTCATTGACAAGATACTAATTTATAATTATGGAGAACATTCATGGCAATAAAATGGTACATCAAGATCGAAATCATTTTCGTGTGTTGTTGGGACACAATCTTGGTGCATCCAGCGAAAACATTTATCGCAGCCAATCCAGTCGGGTTCGTCATCTGGACTGTCGTCGTCGTACTCAATAAGACAAATAAAACATTCATTTTCATTAAATGACTTGGACATGGGTTTGCATTTAGATTTTAGTTGTTTTTCTCGGTTTCTTTTCTCTTTTTCCTGTTCTTTTAGAATTTTTTTTTCTTTCCTTTCATCTTTTTCTTTTCTCAACTTTTCTTTTAATGCGTCTGTTTTATTTTGTAACACTTGGTCGGACGTAAGAAGCCTATGACAGGTAATTTGTTTCGATTTATTCTTTTTGGGTACAGATTGTCCACAAGATGGTATGTTGAATATGTTGGACAGCGTTTCTTCCCACGTTGTTGGTATCTCGGTTTCGTCCTCAGATATGATATGATTTAACAGAGATTGTGCGTTTAATTCCTTTGGTTGTTCGTTTGTTGTTATTGGAACTGTTTCGTCATTTTGTATAAAATCATTCATCATGGTTGACATTGCACTGTCGAAAGACAGGTTTACAATGGGGGGATCAGCTGTGTTTATATTTTCCAAATTATCTATTGTCAATTCTGTTGCATTGGTTGGTGTGTATGGCTTGTTATATACTTCGGATGGCATATACAGCTTGTCGGACAAAATGCTGGGATTGAAGGGTGAAATGCCCGTGGACCGAAATGAGCTCAATATGTTTGTTGGTGTCATGGTCTTGTTCCAGGCAGCATTAATGATTCTCGGCCAAGTTGTTTTGTCAATTATGTGATTTGGATGGTCAGCCATGAATTCCGTACATAATCTGTTGTAACTGTTTTGCAGAGGTCCGAATATGGCTGAAGGTGGTGAGTGGTATGTGGGGGTAGGGCCAATATGTATATATCATTTGCCCTGGCCTTGACGAGTAACTCTGTTACTTCGTGGGAGCCATGCGAATCTAAAATTAATAATTGAGGCCGATCTGGACCGCAGTGTTTAAGAAACACATTATTGAACCACTCCTGGCCTAGGATATCATTCATCCAGGCCCTCTCCTGGTAAGTCCAAATAGTGCCATTAGGTGCGTCTAGGGTAGCAAACCCGTTCAAACATCTGTTTGTTTTGCCTTTCACTATAAACATTGGTGGCATGCATGCACCTGCTGCGTTTATGCAGCCTAAAACAGTTATGTTTTCTCTGTTGTTTGTGGTTCTTCCAGGTAAATTTTTTGTCCCCTTCCTGGCAATTACCTTGACCGGGTCATGCTCGTACGACATGCCCGTCTCGTCACAATTCCATATTCTGCCTGGATGTTCCTTCAGGTCGATGTCAGAAATTATTTTACCAAGGTCTTGGAAATATTTATGGACAACTACTTTATTTAGCATCCGAGACCTAGATGTGGATAACTTCTCTGGCTTCTGTAAGGTTACCTCTGGGAAGCGGCTTTTAAACCCCCTCCACCAGGCATTACCCGGAATACCTTTGTTAAATGGTGTTTGTGTATTTGTTAATTTAACATAACGTGCAACTTTCAGCAGGAGTTGTCTTTTTGTCACCCCGAAACCCTTCTCAGAAGCATCTAAAACTTTTTTGACTATTTCCTCTTCAATTTTCCGGGGGAGGGCAGTGGGTTTACCCGGCACAGCATTCGGGCAAATCCTTCCTGACACATGGTCAATTATTGTGGTTTTGGGTATATTAAATTTTTTGCTAGCCTTTCGGTATGATAGGCCATTCCTGACAGATTTTACGGCGTCTTCTAAAGTTTTTGAGTCATATCTCATATAAATATTTTTAGATTTGCGGGGCATCCTGAAATGTAAAATAAATGTTTATTGTCCCCCGCCTTTCGAAGAAAGCAGGGGACTATTAAAATGGGTTCGTCCGTCTGTCTGTCTGTCTGTCTGTCTGTCTGTCCGTCTGTCTGTCCGTCACACTTTTTGGGACACAATAACTCTCTTCCTAATTGAGCTAGAATGTTCAAACTTGGTGTATGTGTTTATTAGGTCAATGCCTTGATGGAGTTCGAAGATGAGCATTTTCCGCTTAGGGTAAGCAGAGATAAGCAATTTGATTGGTTGATGCTTTGGGACACGATAACTCTCTTCCTAATTGGGCTAGAATGTTCAAACTTGGTGTATGTGTTGATTAGGTCAATGCCTTGATGGAGTTCGAAGATGAGCATTTTCCGCTTAGGGTAAGCAGAGATAAGCAATTTGATTGGTTGATGCTTTGGGACACGATAACTTTTAATTGAGCTAGAATGTTCAAACTTGGTGTATGTGTTTATTAGGTCAATGCCTTGATGGAGTTCGAAGATGAGCATTTTCCGCTTAGGGTTAGCAGAGATAAGCAATTTGATTGGTTGATACTTTGGGGCACGATAACTCTCTTCCTAATTGAGCTAGAATGTTCAAACTTGGTGTATGTGTTGATTAGGTCAATGCCTTGATGGAGTTCGAAGATGAGCATTTTCCGCTTAGGGTAAGCAGAGATAAGCAATTTGATTGGTTGATGCTTTGGGACACGATAACTTTAGTTCTAATTAAGTGAGATTGATGAAACTTGGTGTATAGATTTATTATATGAATACCTTAACTAAGTTCGATAATGAACATTTTTTGCTGAGGGTAAGCAGAGTGATAAGCAATTTGATTGGTAGAAACTTTGGAACACAATAACTCTCCTTCTAATTGAGGTAGAATGTTCAAACTTGGCATAGGTGTCTATTAGGTGAATGTTTAAACTTGATGTATATGTAGATGTTCATTAGGTGAATGTCTTGACTGAGTTCAATAATTAACATTTCGAGCTGAAGCTAAGCAGAGCTAATCGATTTCATTTGTCGATGGTTTGGGACAAGATAATCTTGATTCTATCTGATAGAGAGTGATGAAACTTAGTGAAAAAAATAAATGTGCGATTAATTAATATGTGTCATCTATTTATTTTGCAATTTCGGCGGGGGACATCAGCCTCACTGTTGGCTTGTTTATTACTTTATTAGGTAATATTATTAACCTTTGCCTATTACATATAAATTTTATTAATAGCTAACACATAGATTATTAATAAATGTCCATAATTTTCTAATTCATTTAAGGATTATTTTCCTCAAAAGTGGACTAATAAGAAATGAATATTTTACATTTTAGCCTACATGTATAACGATTATTTCCCCAGACACTGTATAATCAATAAAAAGACCCTAATATTTACCTGCTGATATATATTAATTATGATTGGTCGTTGTACTTTATAGTGGGCGTTGAAAAAACTTGACAAACACTGTATATTCAAATATAGGCTATTCAATCAAAATACACTAGGCCCTATAATTATAAATTTATTATTATTGTTATTATTAATTATCTATTATCGGTAAAAAAAAAAGTAACATTTAATGAATAAAATACGTGATCAGAAGGCCGGTCGAATTTCCCCCACCCCCAAAAGTAAGTTGGTCATAATTCGACCACTTGACCATTTTTGTCATAAAACTGAATTAAATGTTTGTTTTTGATTAAAAATTATTCAGGTTACATCCCACTTAATAATCTAAACCTTACAAATCAATAAAAAGACCCTAATAT